ACCTCGATGCTCAGAGTCCGCGTTTGATCAATATTTGATCTGCCTGAAGGGCCTGTGCCTGCTGGCTGGTATAGAGTGCCTGACGGGCCTTTTATACATTCTTATTTTGTGTTATGTAAATTTTTGTGATGTAACGGGTGTTCTTGTTTATCTTGAAGATGACATGACATTAATTAGACAGTGAGCGATTTTTGTTTTTTTTTTTAAACTAAGTCTATCTATGCTAATACCTTAACTATGGACCTTAACTATGGAGTGTGCATTCCCAAGTGTATAACGCTCTCACACACTCCGTGTATATGTTTTTTGTGTTTTTTGTTTTCCCTATTCTAATCTAAACCTAATCTAACCTAAGTGTGCGTGTGGTGGGGTGTGCATTCCCGGGTGTATAGTGCCTGCACACACCCCGGTGTATATTGTTCTTATATACTATATTTTTTTGGTGCTCACTGTCTAATATACTCTGTAGTCGGCTCTGTGTCTATCTCTTTCTTCATTTATCCTTCTTCTCTATATCCAATAAGTTGTTGCTTTGGCCGTTTATGTACCGTTCTAGTGTTTATGTCGTAGTTTGTCAACTCTCTTAATGTCCTGCTTGGATGATTTACGAGACCATTGAAAATGGTGTTTGCTCTTTCGTCCATTGTCCTTAGGATTCTTTTCTGTCCAGAGTCCCTGAATAAATACCTCAGTGGAACGTATTGAGGTAGGTTCAGTGCTTCTCTGATTATCCAGTTTTGTGTTGTTTGGATTTTCTTCCTATTCGTTTGACATGTGTGTCCCCATGCGGCAGATGCATATGTTAGGGAGGGTAGTATTATACTATTAGCTACCCTCATTTTTGTCTTAAAGCGAAGTTTGCTCTTTCTGCCGATTAGCGAAGAGAGTTGACTTCTTAGTGCTTTTGCTTTGTAGACAGTTTGTTTTACGTGTTCCGTGAAAGTGAGCTTTCTGTCTAAAATGACTACGAGGTATTTGGCCTCGTTCGTCCATTCTACAGGGGTGTTTTCTATAGTGATTTCCCTGTCTGGTCTCCTTATTCTGTGTCTGTACATAACGGCCTGTGTCTTGTCAGGATTTAGTGCAATTTTCCATTTTATGCACCATCTTTGGAACCTATTCAGAGCGCTTTGTAGGTAGCTGGCAGCTAGGTTTGGATCTCTACTGCTAGCTGCTATGGCTGTATCGTCCGCATATAGGCTAACCATAGTTCTCGGGTCTGTCGGAGTGTCAGCTGTATAGATAGTGTACAGATAAGGCGATAACACCGCTCCCTGGGGCACACCTGCTTCCAGGGTCCCTAATTCAGATAGGGTTGAACCTATTCGAACTCTGAACCTTCTGTTAGCTAGGTATGACGCAAGAAGACATGTCATCGCTTCACTATAGCCTAGGTTGCTCATTTTATAGAGCAGACCTTGATGCCATACCCTATCAAAAGCCTTACTCACGTCGAGGAACGCCGTTGCTGTGTACATCTTTTCGTTGAAACCTTTAGTGATATATTCTGTCAGCCTCAAAACTTGTAGTTCACATGAATGTTCGGTCCTAAAACCGAACTGAGCTTCTGGAATAGATCCCAAAGCTAGCGATTCTTCGTTTAGTCTATGTAATATGACTCTTTCCGCTATTTTGCTTACTGATGATAGTAAGCTAATAGGTCTGTAGTTTTGTGGAAAAGTGCCGTCCTTTCCTGGCTTTCCTATCATCATAACATGAGCTTCCTTCCATCTGTCCGGGAAGTATCTTAATTTTAGTATGCTATTAATGATGTTTGTGATGTATACTACTCCCTTTGTTGGTAGGTTCTTGAGTGCTCTGTTACCAATGTTGTCCGGTCCTGGAGCTTTTTTAGCATTTGTCGCTTTTATTAGATTTTTGACTTCTTCGGGAGATGTATGTGTTATTCCGATTCTGCCCTTTCTTCTTTTTAGCCTCCTGACTGTGTTTTCGACTTGTATAGTGAAGTCGATGTCTTCGTGTGGATGTTCGTTGTTCCTGCATGCTTTTTCAAATTCATCTTTAAGGACTTCTGCTTTGTCTTGTTCAGTGTAGACAATTCCGTTTTCTCCGTGTAGTGGTGGGATGGGTTTCTTGTCTTTTCTTAACACTTTGGATAGCTTCCAGAAGCCGGATTGTTGAATGTTTTGTTGTCGGATATATTTTTATTCGTCGCCGAGTACGGGCTTGCGCAGTAAACGGTCCAACGTATGTTTTGGTTTTTATTTACGCCGTTGCAAGTCTAGGTGGTGTCGACGCGTATTGTTAAACAAACAGTAAACAAACATGGTGTTGGAAATTTTAATCGAGGAAGTTAAACAACGACCATGTTTATGGAAAAAGTCCTTGGAGGATTATAGGAATCAAAATGTAAGGGATAATGCGTGGGAGCAGATTAGTAAAGTTTTACATAGACCAGGTAAATACATAATACATATATAATTATATTATAATACTAATTATTATAAAATATTTTTTTAAACTATGCGATTCACTACTCTTTCTTGCCATTCCACTCGACCCTCATCAGACATAAAGTACTCCATGAAAGAAGTTCTAGCCCCTAGGGCTTCCCTTGTTGCATTTCTTGCAGTACCAGCACGCATTTGAACTAATTGCTGTACTACTTCGCCTACCTCCTCTTCGTCTTCTTCGTTGGCCGGAACACTGGCCTGAGTTAACAATGATGCCCGTAGATAGTTATGCAACACCACCGTAGCTTTGACAATTTTATCAGCAAGTTCAAGACGACACTCTAGTGGATGATGATATACCCTCCAAGTATTAGAAAGAATACCAAAAGCATTTTCAACGGTATTCCTGCTTCTTGAAAGTCTGTAGTTGTAAATTCGCTCTGCTTCACTGAGTCGTCGGCCTGTTCTCGGAAAAGGTCTCATAAGGTATCTTTTAAGGGGAAAAGCCTCATCCCCCACTATGACGTATGGCAAAGAGACCCCGCCCAAATTTTCATCTGGAGGCAAGCCAATGTTTCCTTCAGTCAAACGATTACCAATTGCACTATTCGTAAACACATTTCCATCACTAACTCTCCCATACTGTCCTACATCTACAGCAAGGAACCTTTTATTACCGTCGACTAATGCCAACAAAACAATTGAATGGTACTTCTTGTAGTTGAAATATTCGGAGCCTCTCAATTGAGGAGCCTTAATTCTAACATGTTTGCCATCAAGTGAAGCAACACAGTGAGGAAAGTTCCATCTTTCTCTGAAAACGTTTTCGGATGCTCTCCAAATCTCTTCATTTGGCTCAGGCATAACTATAGGTTGGATGTTTTTCCAAATCGCTTCACAAACCTCTTCAATAATCTTACTGACTGTAGATCTACCCATACGATAAGTAAATGCCATTGATCGGAACGAATTTCCTGTTGCGAGGTACCTTGAAAAAAGGACTAAAATTTAATTTAATGTATTTGTTAATAATTGTTATAAATGCTGCAACTTTTGTTGCAGCTGATGATCTAAGGGCGGATTGGAAAAAGCTACAAGATAGTTACAGGCAGGCTATGTTAAGAAGAAGAACTAAAAGTGGACAAGCTGCAAAGAAAATGAAAGTCTGGAAGTATGAATTGCAGATGTCCTTCTTGCTGGCGGATACCATTCCACGAAGGTAAGTAATAAACAGTGAAGAGGGGAATAGAGGAGATATGATTATTGTATTATCCTTTACAGAACAGATTCGAATGTTGCAACAGTGCAGAATGAGGGTGATAAGGAGGATGATGAGGACTTCGTTGAACTGAACGCGACGGGTGGCGGCAATGAAGAAAACGAAAAAGAAGAGACAGATGGTGGTGAAGACAAGGCTGAAAATGAGCAAGAGGGACGTAGCAGAATCTTTCGTAAGCGAAACAGGAAGCTAGTTAAAGAAAATGAACAGGATGTTAATAAAGTGATATCGTTTATGAAGGAGAGAAAACAAGAAAGCAAAAAGTTATTAGGTGAACTTGATTACTTCTTTGCTAGTGCCTGTGAAAGTGCGAAGCGTCTGCCTCGACATTTACAGTTGAGAGTAAAGCGAGAAGTGATGAACACAATTTTAAATGCTGAAACGGAGTCCCTGAGCTTTACTCCGGCATCTGTCTCTGCACCATCGTCAGCCACTAACATCAGTGCACCACCGTCAAGGGCTGCTTCATCACTTACCTACAATTCATACGAGACGGAAGAAAGCTACAATAATCAGCATTACGATTATGATGCTAATTATGATTTAACGGCAGAAGGAGAAAATAACTTTTCGTGTAAACAGTGATTAATATTAATATTATTTGATTTTCATTAACTTTTGTACCTCATTAACAAGTCAAAAAATATATCGTTTTTATAAACAGCATGTTTTACTTACCTCAAGCAAAGAGCTAATCGTTCTTCTGGTGGTATACTGTCCCTATAGTTAAGGTTCTTCTTTTCGATGTCGTCTTTGATAATTGTCAAAATATTGTCAAACTGGGTTTGGGTCATTCGAAAATATTCTTTAAACTTAATTTCGTCATCACGCAACTGTTTCATTAGATGATTATATTCACCACATTCTTTCCTTTTTAAGTTGACGTTATGAACCCAATTTCTTTTACGTTTCTTCTTATTACATAATGCTAAAAGCAACAGTACATCATCTTCGTCGGAAGAACCATCGCTGCTTTGCCAGGGTACACTATCCACCAACATGATCTTAATAAATGAAAAGCCAGACTGAAATATTTTCGTAATAAAGAAACGTAACAAACGTAAGTTTGGTCTGGCCACCCAACATAGCAAACATAGCGAACGTAGCGAACATAGCGAACGTAGCGTACATAGCGTAGCTTTCTGTCTGGCTACGACATTAGACCGTCGGATTTCAATACGCAGTTCATCCACGATTTTATCCCTTATTTCTTTTTGTGTACTAAAAATATCATATGGTTAGTTTCTGTAATGTTATCTTCTTCTTCTTTCTTAGTGTGGATAGGATTGCTCCTGTTTGTCTGCGTCTTATTTTGTTTCAGTCGTTGTTGATTGTACATTATCTTTCCACCTTTTTGGCGGCCTTTCAACGAGTCTTCTGCTATACGTCTTGTTGTTTTTACAGATGTTCGCTAATCTATCTGGTACCATGTTTGGAAAACCATTCGGTTTACATGTTTGTTCCAGTTTTTTTTCTTATTTTATACACCTGTTAATATTTTGAATTTTGCAGTGTTCGCGTATACTTCTGTTGGTTTTTCTGTCTCTTAATGATATGCTCGCTATTGATCTTAATACTTTCATGTCGATATTGTTGATTTGTTGTTTCGTCTTTGTTGTATTGGTCCTTGCCTCCGCTGTATATGTTAGGATTGGTCTTACTGTTGTCTTGTATACTTTCATTTTGCTTTCTATGGTCAGATATTTGTTCCTCCATATGGTTTCTCGGAACTGTGGTGGTGCACTGAATTGGAACACCTTAGAAAGATAGCAAGAACAGCTTTTAATAGAGCGAAACGCACCAAACTCAAAGAGGATTGGGATTCTTATCAATCAAATCTCAGAGAGTTTAAAAAAGTCTGCAGACAAAGACAAAGAGCTGCTTGGAGAACCTTCTGTGAGGAAATCGAAGATTTCCCGCAGGCTTCCAGGCTACAAAAAGCGCTCTCAAAGGACCCACATCGGCATGTCGGCATACTAACGAAGGAAGATGGGAACAAAACTTCCAACCTTCGCGAAAGTGCTGAGGTCCTGATGAAAACACACTTTCCCGGTTCTAGTGTCTCAACAGCACCAAACCGGATGGAAGAAACAATCATACCCTCAACAAACGACTGGCATCTCGCCAGAACAATGATTAATGAGGAAAAGGTAAAATGGGCCATATCGTGCTTCACCCCTTTCAAATCACCAGGGCCTGACGGCATATATCCAGCCCTACTACGGTGGGGACTGGATATCCTTCTGCCGCACCTCGTGGAAATATTCAGAGCCTCTTTGGTTCTGAGATATATTCCTAAGAAGTGGAGAGAGGTACGTGTGGTCTTCATACCAAAACCAGGTAGGATGGACTACACCCTACCAAAGGCTTTCCGACCAATTAGCCTAACATCCTTTCTGTTGAAAACGATGGAGAGGCTATGCGAGAGGTACATAAGGGATGAAGTTCTGGTTCATAACCCACTTCACCCAAATCAACATGCATATACTTCGGGAAGATCCACCGATTCTGCACTGCATCATGTAGTGGGAAGAATTGAAAGATCGTTGGATAATAAAGAATCCACCCTAGGTATATTCATAGACATTGAGGGAGCGTTTGATAAAACCACATTCCCAACTATCACCCAACAGCTCAACGTTAGGAATGTTCCCCTGGCCATAAGCAAATGGATATTTAGTATGCTCTCTAGTAGAGCAATAAGCATAAATGTAGAAGACGTTTCTGTTAGAGGCATGGTTACGAGGGGATGTCCACAGGGAGGGGTGCTATCACCACTACTATGGAACATAGTTCTAGACACCCTGGTTGACCAACTCAACAGCAACGGTTTCTACACAATAGCCTATGCAGACGATATTGCTGTCCTGCAAAGCGGTAAGTTTGAGAACACACTATGTGAGAGATCACAAGTTGCTCTTCGACTAATAGAAACATGGTGCAAGGAACACTCACTATCTATAAATCCTAAGAAAACAGAGATGGTCCTTTTTACCAGGAAAAGAAGAATCACGGGCTTAATACCCCCAAGGATTCTAAACTACAGTCTAAATTTTTCTGACGAGGTGAAGTACCTTGGTATTACCCTCGACAGGAAGTTAACATGGAACTCACACCTAGATGGTAGAGCTAAAAGAGCATATATTGCCTATGAACAGTGTCGACGAACGGTTGGACGCACCTGGGGCCTCACGCCCAGGGTGATCGCCTGGGTCTACACCGCTGTCATTAGGCCAATGCTAACTTACGGAGCTATTGCTTGGGTACCAAAAGTGCTACAGGCAACAGCGATTAACAAACTAAACCATATTCAGCGGATGGCTTGCATAAATATAACAGGTGCCATGAAAACAACACCAACTGCTGCAATGGAGTTGATCATTGGCATCACGCCTCTAGACATATATGTCAAAGAGGTGGCTTTAGTGACAATGATGCGACTGCGCTCAGCTGGTGCAAACCTTGATGTAGGAATGGGACAATTGAGAACTCGTTTCTGGCGGGGAGAGCTGGATGCGTTACCAGTACTACAGGCAGGCTGCGACTCAATTGAACCAAAGTTCGTCTTTAACAAACCCTACAAAATTGAAACAAGACAGTGTATGGAGACAAACGTGGCAAATGCCTATTGCATATACACCGATGGCTCCAAAATGAAAGAAGGCTCAGGATGCGGGATATACTCCAGATCACTGAACCTAAGAATAAAGTGGGGTATGGGCAAAAATGCCAGTGTAGTTCAGACAGAACTAACTGGTATTTCCATAGCCGCAAAAGAGATAACCCAAAAAGGTATAGCAGGGAAAACTATAATGATCTGCACAGATAGCAGACAAGCGCTACTAACCTTGAATAGACCACGTGTCACATCAGGTTTAGTAATGGAGTGTCACGAGTCACTAACTCAAGCTTCGGATGGTAATACCATCATCCTGAAGTGGGTTAAAGGACACAATAGGAATAAAGGCAACCGCATTGCTGACCAATTATCTAGGAAGGCGGCAGGCCTAAGACTCTTAGGACCTGGGGATCTTTTTGGTTGGTCAACTACAACAATCGCGGAAATTGTCAAATGTCACTCCCATACGCAAACCGTAAAAAGATGGGAAGAAGGGAAAGGATGTAAACTTGCCAGGGTAACACTAAGTAACCTTGAAGAGTCAACATCAAAGAAGTACTTGGGAATGACCAGGAAAAGTTAGTTATCGTTAATACGAGAGTACGCGTTCGGCGAGTCCTGGCCTACACCTGCCCACATAAGTGAGATGTCTCCTGGTGACTTGTCCACCTTCCTAGAAATGGCAGGATGGACAATGAGCTAAGGGTGACAGCTCCCTGGGAGGATGCACAATGGGTCAATTGTGGCCTAAGTGCTGTGAAACTTAACTCGCCCTCCCTACTCTACAGATACAGATACAGATGGTTTCTCGGACGCTTTTGATGCTTGCCTTGTGGTCTCTGTTGTTATATCCCTGTCTCTAGTGATCTCAACTCCTAGGTAAATGAATTTCATTACTTGTTCTACACTATTCCATTTCTTGGTAGTTTGTATCTACGCGTCTCTTTACTGTTCACTATACATTTAGTTTTTTTTACTGATATTCTCATATTAAGTTTTTCTTGTATCTCGTATGTCTTTCTTGGAGGTATATAAGGAAGAAATTTAAACAAAAAAGGAAAATAAATCAAATACATAATAGTCCATGTTTTTTAAAACGAATTGCTTAAATTAATTAAGGATTAATTCGATCCCATTAGACTGTAATTAAATACACTTTATTCCTACTACCGCTTTATAAAAAACGTAAAATCTGGTTGCAGTAGCAAAAATTAAAAAGTACAATATGATTCACAAAGCTTATCTTAATTAAAATCCAATGTCCAACTATTTAAACTATCCACTTGCGACGAGCTCGCTGCATGTCTAAATACTTTGTAATGGGATTTTTCAAAAAAGGGAGACCATTACGCGTTGTCAGCAGGAGAGAAAAGACTACACAAAATATTTAACGAGCCACTGCGACAGTTTTCTCGTTCCTGCATCAGCTCAAATAACTTTTGTTAATGAATCCCGCTGGTTATGAACACACGACTAAGTGGCCGGTACCGGTAGAAAGTGGGCAAACATTAAAATGGTAAACGCGATAAAATTTAATTGGATTTATATAAAATTTTCTAAAAACTTAGGCTAATCTGACATTAAAAAAACAGCTGAACCATCAGCTTGGTGGCAAATATTTCAAACGTCTAAAATAAAATTTTCGACGGTCAAACTAAAATAATGGCCATAGTTTTATACATGTGTCAATAACTAAGATCATTAGCATATTTATGATCATATAAAAAAAATAATAATATAAACTCAGTATTAACTCTTTATAGGGAAATTTGGAAAATCGGAGAATAATGAAAGGAAAAAACGAACAAAGGTATAAACAAATACAGAAAGAAATCAAAATAGAAATCAGAATAGCAAAAGAAGATTTTTATAAAAGAAAATGTGAAGAAATAGAGCAATTGCAGGCAAAACATGATATTTTTAATGTACATAAAAAAGTGAAAGAACTTGCAGGTACACAAAAACGTAAGCAGCCAAATACCCTGTATATGTCAACGGAAACATAATAACAGAACTAGAAGAACAGTGAAGACATGGAAAAACTATATTGAAGAACTCTTTGCAGATGATAGACAACAATCTGAGCTAAGTAACATACAAGGAGACGAAGGTCCAGAAATAACGGAAGAGAAAGTAATGTACGCACTAAAAAGAATGAAAAATGGTAAAGCCCCAGGTCCAGATGAAATACCAACGGAAATCCTTAAACTAATAGAAAAAGACTCGATTCACATTTTAGTTGAACTTTTCAATAGCATTTATACATCAGGAAAAATACCACAAGAATGGCTTTTATCCACCTTTGTTATTATACCAAAAAAGATAAATGCCAAACAATGTAGTGATTACCGTACAATCAGTCTGATGAGCCATGGACTGAAAATATTCCTGAAAATTATACACTCTAGAGTACACAGAAAACTGGAAATGGAAATCAATAATACCCAGTTTGGATTCCGAAATGGACTCGGAACAAGAGAGGCGTTGTTTGCACTAAACGTTATGTCTTAAAGATGTCTTGACATAAATCAAGATGTATTCATGTGTTTCATAGATTACAACAAGGCCTTTGATAAAGTGCGGCATGATCACCTAATCAGACTCCTGACAGAAAAGAATTTAGATAAACGAGACATCCGACTAATAGCAAATATGTACTACAATCAGAAAGCAGTAGTGAGAGTAGAGAATAATACCACTGAAGAAATTGAAATAAAGCGAGGTGTGAGACAAGGGTGTATACTGTCACCAACCTTGTTTAATCTCTATTCCGAAGACGTAATGAATAGAACACTTTCTGAGCAATCCGTAGGTATTAAAATAAATGGTGTTAGATTAAACAATTTGAAATTTGCCGACGACACCGTTCTGATCGCAGAAACACTTAAAGAGCTACAGACATTGGTGAATAAGATAGCAGACTGCAGCGAAGAATATGGACTATCTTTAAACATAAAGAAAACTAAATTTATGGTAATATCGAAATCAACACAAAATGTCCAAAATTTATATTTACACAATGAAATTATCGATCGAGTTAGCAAATACAAATATTTAGGCACT